CCCCAAAACCCCAAAACCCCGAAAATGCCTTTAATAAATAATATCTAGATTTATCTATCTTCTTTATTATGAAATTAATGACTATCTTTTAATTAAAAGTTAATTAGTATTGTATTGTTTTATCTCAGACATCATCTTCATCAATGCCTTCATCATTGTTGTTAAATATACTTTCAAACAGTGACATTGGTGGTCTTTCTACTAAACTCATCAAGCTCTTATCCTATAACACAGGTATCAGATCTGCTGGTATTACCTAGATTGATTCCCTTTCAATCTCTTGCTAATCATTTTATAATAAATTTTCTTCATCGACTTAATCTTCTTGCTGAATAATTTCGACTCCTTTGTTAATGTCAAACTGTTGTTGGATATCTTTGAAAAATTTATCTCCATCTTAGTCTTCAAAAGCCATTGAATTTCCTGGAATATTTTGCAATGTCTCTTTGCGTTCAAATTCAGTTTATTTTTTGGCTTCTTAATGGATGTTCTTAAAAAACATCGGGGGCTTAATCTTTTTGGCTTCATGAGGATCCATCAAGCCAAATCTTGAAAGTAATAATTAAGCAGGTTACCAATTTACTTCTTCTCTCCTGTTTATTTATTTTTACAAATCATCAATTCTTTTTTGGATGTCTTGTTGTGTTCTATTCTTCATTTCACTTGTATAAACTCCAGATTGATATTTTGCTGCCTCCTAATCATAATTTGAGGACTAGATCTAATCTAATTACTGCTAAATCATCATTTTATTAAGTGTTATAAGCTTATCAAACTCAGAGCCTTCAAGTTTGAGCTAAGAACCAGTCATCATATTATTAGGGACATCGAAAGTTACTAGTAGCCCTTCTTTTTCAAGCATATAGCCTTTAAATCTGAGGTATTTTTTCAAGTCATTCTTGAATGGAACTTCAACTAATATCTTAGGCTCATTATGTTTTGCTTTTTATTAATCGGTCTTAAAATCATTAGAACTTTGCTAAGATTATTAGAATCTCCCTTGATATTTTGATTCATTATTTTCTAATTCCCCTATCATTTACGCTCTCTGATCAGCATTCAAATTGTTGCTCACAAACTTCTTTTGAAATTTATAGGCTTATTCTTGCATGATTTCCTATACGAAATTTCTTTTTTGATTGACCTAAGTCTCTTTATTTATGACTAAACCTGCCTCCTTAAATGGATTGTAATTTTCAGGAATAGTTATTTTGTTTGAACTATAAAATTATTAAATTTTGCTTAAGTAATTACCCTATCTTTTTAACCTAGAGAGTCCCTCCTAAGATAAATTGGTTATTTTGGATGCTTAAATTATTTCTATTCTGAGAGTTATTCATTTTCCCTAGTCTAGAATCATCTTCTAAATCATCATCAACCACTGTCTAATTTTAAAATCCCTTTTTAACTAATGTTTAAGTTTCATAGATTGAAGTCATTTACATTGAATCATCATCTTCATCGATTTCAATGCCAGTGTAATCGAATTCAGACATCTTAATCCTGTTATTTTGTTATTTTATCTATAGTTCTGCGTTCTAAGGGTCTAATGCATCAAGATCACTTTTTGTTGGTTAAAACCCAATGCCGAAGAGATTATTTTTAAAGGTTATTGGACCGTCATAATACTTTCTTCCTTTTCTTTCAGTTTTTAGATGTCTCTTTTTGGGCAATAAATAGCCATCAGCATCTCGCTCTAATTCATCAGAGTCTTCTTCTGGCGAGTCTTCATAATTTTTGAAGCAGTATTTAGAACTTCCTCTATCCTTAAACCCCATTGCTCTCATCAGTTAATATCCTTTTGAATTATTGGTAGTAATAATGAGCTCGTCTGGGACTTTCATTCCATGAATTCCACTCACCCCGTTCTCATTCAATCCTTGAAGAAATTTCTCTTTTTCATTGCCATTGAGAGTGTCTGCGTATTGTTTCTAAGCTTAGAAAGTAGATCCAACTTAATGCTCTCCCTAATAGTAATGAACTAATAACACATTCATACCATATCCTCCTCATCCATAAATTCAAAGATGCTCTGCTGTTGAATTGTTACTTTAGCTTTTTCATTTCTTGAGCTCACGAATTATTTAGGCTAAAAACCTATACAATTTATGATATAGACTTTAATATTACCTTCTCTTGAACCAACAGTACCTTTGTAGCCAACTGAGAATTCTTTGAGAGCTCCTGTGAATGCTCCGTAAAAATGTTTGCGTCCTTGATCATCTCATCCCTCTTATTCCCAAGGTTTTTTATCTAATCCCTCTATTCTCCTACTCAAAATAGCATCTTTGACATTAAATGGAGTTCCAATCATTTTTAATCTTTAAATTATTAAATCAAGATTAATTGACAAAATACTAAGGAAAATACTTTACAATAATTCAATAATTAAAAGGGACGAGTGATTTTTTAGAGCATTAATTAAGATTTATATTTTCAGATTCTAATCAATAGCCTCCTCTTCCACCTCTACCAGATCCCATATTATTACCTCTACCTCTAAATCCACCTCTATCATTTCCACCTCTGTTGCCACGGCTCCCACGATCACCTCCTCGGCCACCGCGATCACCTCTTCCTCCACGATCACCTCGTCCTCCACGACCTCCTCTATCTGATCCTCCTCTTTTACCTCTATAATCTGAGCCTCCTCTACCACCTCTGAATCCTCCTCCTCTGTCTGATGATCCATGACTTCCACCTCTTCCTCGACTATGAGATCTCATACCTCCTCCTCTATTTTCACTCTCAAAGTTCCCTTAGATAGCTCTTTCAGCCTCTATAAATAATAGTTCGCCTATTAATGCTTACATTTCTTTTTCATATCTAAAATATGATTCTCTAGTATTTCCTCAGTCAGCTAAATAGTCTTAACATGATTGCCTCTGATAAAGACTTTCTCAAATTTAGAGAACTGCCCATTAATCGTGGTTCGAATAACATCCTTTAAAGATATGTTCATGTAATTGTCACATCCTAGCAAGATGCCATCATATGATTCCCCATTCTTAGTATCAATCATCTAAATCAATCACAATTATATAATATCAATGCTTACCATTCTTTGATCAACTCCACTATTCTTCAAGATTTACAAAGGCAGCTATACATTCAATATTAATCAAGGAGAAATATTTACCATTTTGATAGATTATATACTTTATATATTATTCCAATTATCTCACAAATATAAATTAATAAAACCAATGGGGTTTTGGGGTTTTGGGGTTTGGGGTTTTGGGG